CTGGCTGGTTATACATGATTCAAGTCTTATAATTATGATGAGTTTTGCAATATTATTGCAATTTGGAAATGAAGACAGATGTAAATGTAACATATTACTTCTTCATTGCATGACTACAGTACTTGACTATCACTGAGTATATTATTCTAATCTGCATGGTCAGTGAACGCCTTGTGAATCTCCAAGACAAGAACAATTGTAATCTTCTGGAAGTTGGTGCCTTGTGAGTCATGGTTAGCGATGACTTGGGATTATACTTGCCAAAAATGCCTTGCAAGGTTTGACATGACTCCTAGATTTCAAGAAGTGATTATAATTTTTTCCTCGATCGAAATGCATTCTGTTATAAAGCACTTTGAAGCAAAATATTATGGATTTTTTTGTTTAAATTATGAACATTTAATGAAATGACACTTTTTCAGAGTGAACTAATGAATATAGCATCTTGTTCTTTTATGTTTTGGAACCTAGCATTCAACTGATAACAAAACTCTCCATTTGATGACAAAAAAGCTCGACCCCTTGTGCATTGTTGGAGACTGTTCTGCCATCGACAAAATGGTTCCGGATAGTTTCGAATGAATCACATAAATTGTGCTATTTACAATAGATATTTTTCCAGGGATTGCACTTCTGCTTGATTGGACCTAAATAATATGATGTTTTGGGAAAATATTTATATCAAAGCATAAAGGTCTGTTTTGAAAGTTAGTGTGTGCTCTTAGATTAAGATTTACTAAGCACACATTTCGTCCACGTGCCAGACCACTTTTTCAGTATTGTCACTACAGTTAATGGGATTTCAAACTTGTCTCCCAAGAAACTAAGAGACTAACACATTTGCTAACACATTTGATCGCAAATCTCTACTCCACTTTTTCAACAGCAATAGAAGGGGGGGGACTAATACATTCATGCACTGAAACTAAATCAAACCATCATAGAACAAACACTCCTCCCCTTTAGACACATACGGTGATCTTCAAATCATATATGGGATGGTCGTCTCTTTTGCCACTACCGTTATTGTTTCGGAGCGGTACCTTTCTCCACTGTGAGAGTACATCTCTCATCTCATCTCCACTGTGTACTCTTCACGGTGTAATCTGTCGGCTCAAACACGTCAATCGTACCACCGCCGACCGCATTCTTCTTCACCTTCCTTTGATGTGTAACCTTCATGGTTACGCAAGGACTACCGTTTCCATCTATGTAGTGGTTAAGCTCCTCTCGCACACCAAGTAGTTCCCTCACTTTCTCTGCTCCAATTTGATACACCGTAGCCAAATTCCCTTCGTTCTTGGCATCCGTAACAGCTTTTCGGTACTCGTTTCTCATACCCTCTTTCAACGTTATCGAATTCACAATTTTCATATTTTCTTTTCTTTGTAATGAAATACCCTTTGTGAAATTAGTGAAGAAGGAGAGTATAAAGACTAACCAGATTATATAGACCGAGAAAGAATCTTTTTGCGAACGAGAAAGACAAAACTTGATCCAAAATAGGAGAATATTTTTTTCATCTCGAACTCCATAACTTACACATATTAAGCTTTAGCTACTGAGAAGGACATTTATCATTATATTTTTTTTTCCGCTCAAACATCACTTGATTAACTTTACAATAAAACCATATTGTTTAACTATTGTTAGTGTTACGATAAGCTTTTGGCAAAAAATTTTTTTGATAAAACTCATTGTGAAATAGTCGTTAAATTAGATAAAGTAAATTTTTTTATTAGATGTGATATGGAAGTTCTACGAGATAGGGAGAAATTGTTTTTGAATATTGTATTTTTTTAACAAGGAACATGCGCTGGTTCAATAAACCACACATGCATCAAGTAATTCGTAAATGAGTACGAACACTGCAGATCCATATTTTTTTAACTAGGGCAATTTTTTTTTATCTTTTTTTTCTCCATCTCGTGAATTTATTAATAACTTCGAACAGAAGTACAAACGATAATGCTCGATCCCTAAACAGAAGAGCCACCTATACATACCAACGATTTAATCCCGAGACTAGCACAAACTATGGAAGACAATAACATTGAAACCCATAAGCAAGAAGTGTCATAACTGATGGATAAGGATCCTAACTCTCCTGAACTTCATCGTTGATACTCAACCCAATATCATTGAGGGAAAACTGTTGATATGTATCGCCGCGAGAAGTGTTATTTGGAAAACCGGAGAGCAAGGAGACTTAGTCGTTGAACGGAGAAAAACCTGCCCCAAGAACTTCTTCATCATCACCACACCTTCAATAGCATAATTCGTCCACAAAAATACAAATCGAAAGCGAATAAGACATATCAAATCAAAGCCGAGAAAGCTTTTTAACCTTCGAGGTATCATTAGATATCCGAAATCGAGACTTCCGATCATCTTAACCTCCAGAGAAGCTCATAACACAATATCAAACCAAAGACTTAAAGTCCACCAACACCCTAACTCATGACTAAAACCAGACCGCAAAAAAAAAAACACCATACGATTTATGACCATCGATATGACGAAAGAACCCAAACACCAAAAGAGCCAAACGATACAAACTCTAGAGACGAAACAAAACGTCTACAAAGGCAAAGCAAGGAGAAAACATACCAAAACCGACAAAATAATCAGCAGACCCAAGCCCAGAGGCCGAACTAAAACCCCCTCGCTGGTCTAAAAGCGACCCAGAACGAAAGTCCAATCCCCAACCTCGAGCCCACTAACCGGCCCACCAAGACCACCCGTCAGATCTCAGATCTGAACATCACGACGATCGCAACACCACTGCCGGAGGTCTGAGAAGCCGTGAACGTCAACCAGATCTATGATAAATCAAACCCCCTCAACACCACTACAGACCCAACCAAACCGCAAAATAACTCCTCGTATGGCTTCTTTGATAGATTGCGAACCAAAACTGACGAAGGGAACACACTATAAAACACGAGTGCTGACGCCAGCGCTGTGTAAGCCGCCGACGCCAGAGACGAAAAATCCTTTATATCTTGTTTCTTATCGGCGGTTTCTCTCTCTATCTCTATCTATTCAAATGGCAATTTTTTTTATCTATGATTAATAATATGATGCTAAATTAACTAAAAAGATAAATATTACCTTTTTTTAAAGTCAGTTATTGCAACATGAAATTAAAGGTAGATATTTTTTTACTAGTGAGTAAATTTTATTTTATTGTATCAAATGATTTTCTTGGAATCAATGCTTCTTATTTTTAATGAGAAGTAATTTTAAAAATAGAAAAATAAATGAAGAAAAAACATATAGTGCTAAAGCTTTAACAATAAGATATAGCAAAAGAGATATGCATTATTATATTGTTATCTAATTCATACTTTTCTCATCAAATGAAAGAAATCTAC